TTCACAAAAATAAAATTTCTTAGTGAAGTGCTTATCTCTTCTCCTAAAACAAAGATGTGAGCCATAACTATAAGTTCTCTTTTCTCTCTCCCTCATTTTAATTTTTGGAAACAGTCACTTCTTGCCTTGGCCACTGGATTTTCCCCTTGGAGAACATAGGGTGGTTTAACTGAATTGACTCCTCTCTTTTTAGAGGAGTGTCTAGGAAAGTTGGCATTGAAGTTGGCATAAGATTTTTAAAATCCTCTGATAAATACCTTCTATTATGAACAATTAACCCAAATTTTGGTCATTGTTCTCTTCTACCATCTGTTCATAGGACTCCAGCAAAAATCCTGGTGCTCCCAGGATTCTAAATGTGTTTCCTTGCCCTGGGCCTGGGAGGAGTACCAATTTCTAGCCCTGCTTGCCCCTGTTCCTAGAATCTCACCTTATAGATGACCAAATCAGTCATCAGACTCGGACCAAGTCTTTTAAAGCAGAAATGGAATCAGTGAGTGTGGGAAGCTTAGTTGAAGATCAGATTCTGCAGAGTGATTATCTTCAAGAGTTCTCGGGAGGTCACTTTTATTCCAGGGCATCAGTTCCCTGGGGTTCAGACTCTACCAATTTACCCACAGTCCATACGGGCCAAGTCACTATGTCTGCTTCCTACCACATTTTTCTCCTGACACTTGTTCTCTAGTACCTCCCTGGTTATTTTATCTCCATCCTCAAATTTTATATGTACAAATGGGTGGCTTTCCATCCTAGAGGTTCTTACTCCCAACAAAATAATCTTTCCCTATGCCTCTTTTAAGAAGAGTTAGACCTACTTAAATCTATACTCCATTAGTTAAAATCCATGTGCACTCATTCCCAGAGACTCAATACTCTCTGGGTTGGGGCTTTAAATACTGATTATTTAATAAACACCTCAACTTGAAGAAACATTGCAGTAGAGAGAAGCCAAACTTGATCATGGTTCTAGAAGTTCCATTACTCTCTATTTCAAAGATGATTTTATTGGGAAATCTAGGTGCTTTCCTACTGATTAAGAATGTATATGCCATTTGCTATCCCTGTATAATTTTACATTTTAATATTGGTTTTTTTTCTTTCTTTGAATCAGAATCTTCCAAATAATGTTTCCACCAGTCCATAACAACATAAAAATTAGAAAGACCAAAGTGTTATTCATAAACTTAAATGTATTTAAAGGATTGTCCTTTAAGATTATGTACTTTCGGGCTGGGGTTGTAACTCAGTGGTAGTGTGCACGCCTTGCATGTGGAAGGCACTTGGTTCAATCCTCAGCACCACATAAAAATAAAATAAATTTATTTAAAAAAAGATTATTTACTTTCTACTTTCAGGACCTCAAGATACTTTTTCTTTTATGAACTACTCCCAATAGTAAAAACAGTAGGGTTTTAAAAATTAATTTAGAGGGCTGGGGATGTGGCTCAAGCAGTAGCGCGCTTGCCTGGCATGCGTGCGGCCTAGGTTCGATCCTCAGCACCACATACAAACAAAAACGTTGTGTCCGCCGAAAGCTAAAAAAAATAAATATTAAAATTCTCTCTCTCTCTCTCTCTCTCTCTCTCTAAAAAAAAATATTTTAAAAAAAATTAAAATTAAAATTAATTTAGAAAATTAAACAGTCAAAAATTCAATGTTGTTCAAATTTCAAAAATCCAAGCTACCAAGCCTTTTGAGTCTGCTCCTGAAATTTGAACTGATTGCCACCAAGGTAAAGTAGAGTGCTACATCTTGACATTTTCTCTGCCAGAGCATGTCAAGTTTGACTACAAACTTTCTACTACTTCAAAAGACAAGGATGTTTCTTTTCTCTCTTTATATAAATAATAAGCTCTGTAGAAACGTTCAAATAATAGGAAAAATCAAATCAAAACCACTAAACCACTGTTAATGTATTCATTTTTTCTAGTCTTTATAAGATACTGGAATGAATCTGATATAACATTCCTATGTACATATATGAATATACCACAGTTAATCTCATCATCGTGTGTATCCACAAAAATTTAATTAAAAAAAATAACTATGGGTAAATGGCAGAAAGATCAGTAGAAGAAAGGGAGCAAGGGGTGGGGGAAGGAAAAGGAAGGGGGAGTTCTATGGAATGAATTAGGACAAATTATATTCTATGCTTTTATAATTATTTTAAAATGGATTCTACTGTCATGTGTAACTAAAAAAGAACCAATTTTTTTAAATGTATGGACAAAACAAAACAAATCCATGTGCACTTTCTCTTATTTTTCTTCAAGTACTGAAGAAGAAGCCCAAGGCATCATATATGCTAGGCAAGCACTCTACTACTGAGCTACACCCAGCCCTTACATTTTATTTGCATAGGTATCTATTCTTAGAAAATATTTCCTTGTAATTAAGATAAAATTTGAAATTTAATTTATCCAGGTGCTGCTAAAAAATTTGTAATTTGGAGTCTTTAGCTAAAGGTATATGTATGTATGATTACGAGAAAGCTAAAATTAATTGTTTTATAAATATGAACAAATAAAAATGTGTTAATAGTCTTGTAATGTCTTCCAGAATTATATGTATTAAGAAGGATTTAAGCCCAAAGTTATGTAATGGTTATTTATGGAAGATGAGATTTTTCACTTCATTTTGTATGCCATTTTTTAATTACTTGTTATCTTTCCTTCCATAATGTTTATGTGTTATTTCTATAGTCAAACATCTATAATCAGGATATGAAGGAAGAAAAGAAAAGGAAAGTGGAACATAAAATTATCAAACTCGATGATGGTTTATTTTACATTTAACATCAGGTGACTTATTGCAGACCTCATCAGCCAAAGGGAATAGTATTTTCATAGCTATAACCATTCACATGTTGCTGTATGAAGACCATACAAATTTTTTACAGTCATGTGTCCCTTAATGATGGGGATACACATTGAAAAATGTATCATTAAATAATTTCATCATGTGCAAACATCATAGAGTATATTTCATGAACTAAAATGGGCACAAACTCATCTAATCACACAGGAGCAAGATCATATGTATGGTCCATCATTGACTTAAATAGAACAAACATTATCATTTAATGGAGAAATTCTGAGCTTTCCCTGCCCAGATTAGAAATAAAATAAAATCACCCCCTACTATTTTTATTCATCATTGCACTAGAAGGTGAGCCAATGAAATAAGATAAGAGGAAAGTTTAAGAATAGAGAAAGAAAAAACAAAAGTGCCATTATTCACAGACCTTTTGTTGTTGTTGTTGTTGTTGCTGTTGTTGATACTCTTGAGGACATTCTCTACTATTCCCTTTTTATTATGAATGGGTATTTAATTTTATTAAATACTTTTTTTGCATCCATTGAGTTGATTACATAATCTGATGATGTGGTACATTATGCTATTAAATTTAGATTTTTAAATCAACTTAGTATTCTTAGAATAACACCTACTTAATAATGATGTTTTAACTATTTTTATTTATAATTGAGTTTTATCTGCTTATATTTTTAATATAATTTGCATCTATGTTCATGAAGGACATTGGATCATAATTTTCCCTTCTGGTTGTTTGAAGAGTCTAACATGGTCTTGTTTTGTATCAATGTTTATTACAGAAAGAGCTGCCATCTTATAAACGTCATAGATCTGTAAAGACTTGTGGGGGCGGCACCCTACATGATTCTTATTTATTTTTTTTAATTTCTTGTGAATGTACGTGACAGTGAGATTTCCCTTCTATTTTTTAACTGGTACATTAAAATTAGACATAAAAGTGGGATTCATTGTGATATATTCATCTGTGCACATAGCATAATTTGGTAAAAGTTATTCTCCAGTACCTTCTCTCTCCCTCCCCTCCATCTCCCTTCTCTCCTGCTCTCCCTTCTATTTTCATGAGATTCATTTTTAATCCTTTTTTTCTCTCTCACGTCTACATATGAAAGAAGACATTCAACCTCTGATTTTCTGAGTTTGGCTTATTTCACTTCAAAAAAATGTTCTCCAGTTCCATCTATTTGCCAGCAAATGACATCACTTCATTTTCTAAGTGTGGGCTCTCAGGTCCCACTCAGAGACATTCAGTGCTACAGCAAAAGCAGAGAGAATTAATACAAAGGCTGTGGATGCCATGCATACGAGGGGGTCTCAATCTAGATGACTCTAGAATACTTCATTAGGAGAAGGCTGTGCCGTATGAATTAGGTGACTAGACACCTTGAATGCCCTTATGGAGAGACATTGATATTGGAGAAGTTACCCTTCCTTAACATTCTCCCATCATACCCTTCAGGAACCACATTAGACTTTTCCTAATGCAAAAATGACCAGACAGGTTCCTCAAGGGTTGTGCTGCAACCTTTTACATTCCCTTATTACATAAATTCATGTTCAGAGGATACAAATTTGTAAAAGAAGTAACTGCCAAGCCTAGAAATCCCGAGTTCTAAGAATGTTACTTAGCTAGAATAAAGGACATAAATGAATAGAATTTTGTGGTATTGTATAGTGGTGTCATAAAATGTCTCAGAGCTTGAGAAACTGAGTTCAGAGTAGCTGAACAAGTTCCAAGGCCAGAGCACTGCTGTCACTTCATCTATTTCCAAAGACTGTGTTTTAGTCAGCTTTTTCACCACCATGACCAAAAGACCTGACAAGAACAAGAAGAGGAAAAGTTTATTTGGGGCTCCTGGTTTCAGAGGTCTCAGTCCATAGATGGCCCACTCCATTGCTCTAAACTGGAGGCAGAATATCATGGCAGAAGGGTATAGAGGGGGAAACCAGCTCAGGACATGACAATAGGGAAGTAAAAAAAGACTAAACTAGATTCACCAGGGACAAAATATATACCCCAAAGGCATGCCCCCTGCAACCCACCTCCTCTAGCCATACTCTACCTGTCTACAGTTATACCCAGTTAATCCATTCCAGTGGATTTCCATTTCCACAGACAAACTTAATAAATGGCTATAGACTTTAAAAACTCAGTTTTAAAACCAAATTTACTTCTGCCTTATAAACATATGAACAACCTGCTCCTGGATTTGTTTGGTCTTTATCCCATAAATGATGGGGTTCAGCATAGGTGGAGCCAGAATACAGACATTAGCCAGCAAGATATGGATATGAGGTGGAATGTGGCGTCCGAACTGCTGAGTAAGGGTTGTGAAGATTCCAGGCCCATAAAACAGGATGATGACACAAATGTGGGAGCCACATGTGTTGAGGGCTTTGTGGCGAGCATTTTGAGAAGGCATTCGGAAGATGGCACAAAGAATCAGCACATAGGAAACAAAAATTAGCACAACATCTAAGACCACTGTTGCCATTAGGATGAAAAAACCATACCAAAGGTTTACTCGAATGTCATTACAAGCATATTTGGCCAAGCCAATGTGTTCACAACAGGTGTGTGGAATAATATTATGTTTGCAGAAAGTCAATCTTCTCAGAAGAAATATTATAGGGAATATGGTACCATAACTTCTCAGAAAGAGAGCCACTCCAATTTTTCTAATCCTAGAATTTGTAAGAATAGTGGTATATCTCAGTGGGTAGCAAATGGCAATATAGCGATCAAATGCCATCACCAGCAAGATCCCTGACTCACAGACAAAGGTGGAATGGACGAAGAAGACCTGAGTGATGCAGCAATCCAGGGAAATCTCTCCAGCATGGAACCAGAAGATGGCCAAGGCCTGAGGTACTGTGATTGTGGAGAGGACAATATCTGTTCCAGCCAGCATGCAAAGAAAGAGGTACATGGGTTCATGGAGACTACGCTTTGTGAGGATAATGAAGATGAGCAGGCTGTTCCCAAGCAGGGCAATGACATAGGAAATGAAGAAGGGAATGGAAATCCACATGTGCTGATCCTCTAGGCCAGGGATGCCCAACAAGTGGAAGACTGTGTGGCTAATGCCAGTGTGGTTTAAGGTGGTCATACCTGGAAAGACTAAGAGACACTTCCACTTCTATTCACAGAGGCACATGAAAATACATATTTCCTTTAATATTTTTGTGATGTCACTAGGAGATTTAGGTATAGTCCATGCCCTCATCTTCTTTGAATCCATAAATAAGAGGAAATCTGCAAAAATGAAAGATGATCTATGCTTTAATGAGTGATAGCCACTCATTAAAGGATTAGTTGGAGAATGATCTCCAACTAATCAAAGTAAGAAACATTATTCTATAAATTCCACTTACAAACAGAAGATTATTAATACACAGGGGAAATTATTACTTATGTCCAGGAAAACTATTAAAAGATGAAACTTGAACTTGACCTTGAAATTTAGTAGTTTATTGTAAAGTGAATGGGGGGGAAAAAGAGAAGCAGTATATGAAAAGGTGAACATACACAGCAATGCACAACATGCTCCTGAAATATTTCAAGCCAAGTTGCAGGTGCATAGGAACTGTTGGAGAGAGCAGGGAAGGTGGTTGTACAAGGGATATATTTCCTGTTTATAAGGGATCTAAAACAACAAATTTCTTCTTTCATGCTCCTGGAAGCTATAGGTCTAAAATCAAGGTATTCGGCAGGATCACCTTTGTTCTGAGGGCTCTGGGGGAGGATCCTTCCTTCTCACTTCCAACTTCTGGTAGCTGCTGGTGACCTTGGTGCTGCTGGGACTAGGCAGGGACTAGTATGAAAGCATCATACTAGTCCCTGCCTATTTTAACATAGCCTTTTCTGTGCGTCTCTGACCATCCTTCCTCTCCTTATAAGGATACTAATCATGGATTTAGGGTCTACCCTAAATCAGTATAACCTCATTTTAGTTAATTACATCTGCAAAGACCTTGTTTCCAAATAGGTCACATTCTGAGGTTCTGGAGGCACAGTTTGTGAAGACATGACTCAACTCCCAACAGTTGATTGCCATCACTGCCCATATTTTATTGAATGCCCATTGGATCCTGGGACTCGGGATGTAATGGGACATTTTAGCAAGGTGTCTGAAATCAAGAGACTTTTAAGTCAGCTTTTTAATGTGCCTACTATGCAAAAGTTCCTAGCTGACCAATTGGAAGAACAAAATTTAATCCCTTCCCTCAAGGAAAGTTGTACCTGGGCCCTTGAGTCTCTTCTAGTCTTCCAGGTACCATTTCCGTTCGTTTATGACCCATACCTACCCTGTATTGTATTTGCCTGAAAATCCTTTGTGCCATTAAACACCATCCAATTCTTTGAATTCACTAACAGTTAAGGGTCTTTATCACAGCTTAACCCTCAGACCCCATCTTTCACACAGGGGGCAACTATCAGATATCTCAAAGCCATAGTTTAAAATGATTACTCTAAATTAGAAGAATTACCTGTGCATGTTTATTGGAACATTAATTGACTATGGGCACTGGAGACTAAATAGTCAGTGGTATTCCAGGACTAAAAAGGATCTGGATGTAATACAGTCAGGAAAATTAAACTAATATTTATTAAGCATTGCTTTATGCCAGGGACTATATTACGCACAGTGTATTTCATATATTCTTCATGCAAGGAGTAGATATAGTAGATATGCATGCTAGAAACTGGATATTATCCCCATTTCATACTTAAAGAAAATGAGACTCACACCACATGAATCATTTTCTATCACAAGCCAGTAAGTGATGGAAATGAGATCTGAAATCTCTCTGACTTCACCAGAGATTGCTCACCTATGAAGAAGGTCAAGAGATCTTAAAGAGGTAATAGTGGCCAGAACTGTGTACCTGAGATAAGATGTTCCTTGTGCTTATGCCTTGGGAACTAAGCTTTGGAATAACTGAAAATTTAAAAAGAGATTGTTGCTGGAGGAAGGGTGGGTTACAGCTCTTGATATTTAGAAAAATCTTCTACTGGTGGAAATTAGCATGTAACTTCATTATTTACTTCCTATCATACATTTCTTTCTTCATTAGCAAGAATATTTTGAACAATGACTATTTTTTTTCAGGCATCCTGCTGTGTCCTTGAGTCCTCTCTGGGCTTATGGCTTGAAAGAATGGTGGACATGTAAGCAACTAGATTTAGCAAATGTCCCAGGGGAATGGGCTCAGAGAGCACCTTCTGAGAAGAGGGCCATATCCATCCCACTTTCATGGGATTAAGACCATGAAGAAATGAAAGCAAATAATAAAATACCCTCTTCATGGGTTTCCGAGAATATTAAATCAAAGGGTATTTTTAATAGAAATTAAAAGCTCAGTTGCTAAAGATATATCTTATCCTCATTAACATTTTTTTTTCCATTCCAGTTCCTCCTCTTAGAGCCCCTGACTTTTCTTTCTAGGGAGGAAAATCAGCTCCTTAGTTTTTCTCTCACCTCTGCCAAGATGCCCTGGCTACCTCTACAAAGCCTCTCCAGTGTCAGGCTTGGGACAGGCCATTCTCAGGATTCCTTTCACATCTTTCCAAAAGAGTCTGTAGTCTATGTTAGTATTCCTTATGTTTCCTCATCTCTAGCCTAGTCATTTGGACCCCTACCATGTATCGCGTTGCTTGCTTCTTTTTACCCTTAGCTAACTCCCTTAACCCATTCAGTGTATTTTCACTCTCACTTCCCAGACCTCATCTTCCACGTCTGCTAGAACCAAGAAGATTTGCACCTCTGGTCTTCATGGTTTTTTGACCACATATTTCAATAGTCTAGACTGCTGTCACCTCTGCTCTGCATGACACAACACCAGCCTAGTTCTTACCTTAATTCTGAAGCCAGCCCCACCCACAGATATTGAATTTGATCACCAGCCTCAGATGGAGACTTGAGGAACTATGAGCTCTGTAATAAAATTCAGTGTATTGGGAGCCAGGAGTTGGGATGTTTATTCTCCTCCTTGAGGGAAGCACTTAGACCAGGTTCTCCTGGGAGAGAGCTGCATCAGCACAATCAACTTTTTCCCAAATGGAAAAAGTCTCTGAAGCTATTTTTCTCCTTTCTGTTCCTTCTGATTCTTATTTGTCTTGCTTTGCTCAAGATGCTCTGATACAAAAGCCTTTCCACCTAATCTAGCCTTACAGCATGCCTGTTTAAACAGATTTAAAGCCCATTTTTAACACAAATATAAGAGGTGGCAGTATGTATCAATGATTTGTAAAGTTCTGTTCTTCTGTTCTTCTTGAAAAGGATTATGTTGACATTATATTCATCCCCAAGATTTTCATAAGTCTCTCTTTCACCATCATGAATAATGAGGCTTAACTGTGGCCTAAAGTACATAAATGCATATGCTTAGAAGACATGTGAGCCATGATTATTTTGGACACATTTGTATTTCATGCCTGACTCCTTTAATCACGTTTGATTTTTACTTCATCTTAATTTTCAATTTGATTGTGATGCACCTAGGCATAACATTCTTTGTTTTTATTCTCTTTGAGATTTACTGAGCTTTTTGAATATGTAAATTTATAATTTTACCAAATTTGGTATTTTTCAGTAATTATTTCTCAATTTTTTTCTATCCCATTTTTTCTGTTCTTTCTTTTTCAGACCCCAACTTCACGTCCATTAGATCTTTTAACTTTGTTCCACAAGTACCTGAGGTTCTCTTATTTTATTTTTCTGTTCTTTTGCACACTTCTTCAGTTGGATAATTCCATTAATAAATCTTATGGTTAATTACTAGAAGTAGGATTATCTTGGTCAAAGGATAAGTGCATTTGTAGATTTTTTTATTTATTAAAGAAGGAAATAGAAAAAATTATATTGTTATAGTGTGTGCATGTACAAATATTTAACAATGAATCCCATTATGTATGAATTATGTATAATAAGATATATAATATAATTATACATAATTATCTTGTGTATAATTATAATGTACCAATAAAGATTCCCTCCATAGAAATTGTATAATTTTTCATTAACACCAATAACACATATCTTTTACCTTAAAACAATGTCGGTAGAATGTTTTGTCAATGTTTTCAAGTGTGGTTGAGCATATGCAAAAATAACTGACAATAATGTGTATGAATTCAAAGGCATATTCTTTAAGAGTTCTTACAACTTCCATTTGACCCTCTTGGAGGACATCAGCCATTTAAATAGCTTATGGTAGACAAATAAACAAGAGACCACGTGGAGCGAGATGGCAGAGAGCCAGCATCTACTGTAGAACCTATAATCCCATAACCCCTACTTCCTTCTGAAATTTCATACCACATACAAAAAATAGAGATAATTCCTTGAATCCTATCAAATCAGAATGAAATTGAATTAGAAATCACTGACAAAATTTTAAAAAGAAAACACTCTAACACCTGGAAATTAAATAATACTCTTTTGAATGATAAATAGGAAGCAGAAGAAATCAGGGCAGAAATAAAAAAATTCTTAGAAACAAATGAGAACATATCAAAATCTCTGGGACAGTAACAGCTGTTCTAAGAGAAAAGTTTATAGAACTGAGTCTCTACATTAAAAAAAATAGATAACAAAAAAAATCTAACAATTACACCTCAAGGCCCTAGAAAAAAAAAAAGAAGAAACTAACACCAAAATCAGTAGATGATAGGAAATAATTAAATTGAGAGCCAAAATTGATGAAATTGAAAATTTAAAAAAATACACAGGATCAATGAAACAAAGGGTTGATTCTTTGCAAGAATAAACAAGATTGATAAACACTTAACCAAACTAACAGAAAGAGAAGACCCAAATTAATAAAATTATAGATGAAAAAATATCACCACAGACATTACTGAAATCCAAAGAAGATAGTCAGAAACTATTTTGAAAATTTATACTCCAATAAGCTAGAAATTCTTGAAGATATTAACAAATTTCTAGAGACACATGACCTAAGACACAGAGGCAAACATCCATACTTTGTTGAGTATCAGTTGTTTGATACTCAATAAAGGTGCCAAAAATATACCTAAAAAGATGAACACCATTATCCAAAGTACATGTATGAAGACACGAATTGGTGGGAACATATTTTATAT